GCCAGTCTGCATAATTTCCTCTTGCAATCTTCATTCAGTTGATTCACCCTTCAGTTGATAYGCCCTTTAAGTTTCAGCATAAAGCAGACACTGAAGAGTCTTCTGTTAAGAGGTTTGCAAGATCTTTTAGAGCCTTCCAGATAAGGCATTTCATAAAAAGAGTAATGTTTTCAGACAACATATCCTCAGTGGGTGTTTTGTTTGAAACCATCTATCATGAAATTGCTCCCAGCATGGCACCACTGTCCATTAAAAAATCTGCAACATTAATGTGTTCCCACAGTTCAGTGCAATTCCTATAATAAGTGCTTTATTTATTTACCCCAGTGCCTATGAAGCTCAGATTATCATTTAGTTTTAAACAAACTGCATACTGTGAAACATACTGTTAAACAAACTGCATACGTCTGTAAGCGAGAAACCCATTAAATTCAACATTTACTCAACAGCTCTAATTTACTTGCTGTATTATGATTCCTCCATTTTATAAGTACATATTTAGTTCTACAAATCTTGTTTTCTGTAATTTTTATAACACATTAAGTATTTCATTTTCGCCCACATCATTTAGAAAGGAACTTGCAAGTATAAATCTAAGCACAATCACTGGCAACTGAATAAATACAGTTCCTGAAATCAGGCTTTTAACCAGATTTTAAAGCATCTTTATAAACACTTAGAATCAGAAAAACAGGCAGGCAGAAAGATACATGTTTTGCAGAAAGTTTTTAAATTAATTTAAAAATTAATGTATCTAATACACAGCATAAGCTACGCATTAGCACACATAAAATCAAATCAAAATGCTGAACTGAAAAAATTAAGATATCATTTTTCCCTAGTATACTGCCCATTTATGCATACAGTCTATTCAAATTGAAGACTGTTTTAAATTTACATGACAAATCATGTTTATCTATATTGTTGAAAAATGCACAGCCTGAACTTTGGGCCCAAAAACCTCCCACCAAACTCAGACTTTAGGTCTGAAGTTGTAGTGCAGAACTGCAACTGTGTGTATGCTGAGGATATGCCAATTTAAACATACACTTTCAACACCTCAAACACTGTGCTGTTTTCCACACAGTGCCACAGAACACTATGAAGAATCGGCAAAATCTTATTTAGGAATTTCTTTTAAGGCATTTTTTGAATGTATAGTATCATCAAATGGTTYTGTTTGTAAGCTCTCTCTGGTTTTAACAAAGCAGAAAATTAATCAAGAAATCTCTAAGTGAGCATAAAGAAATTACCACTTTTCCTTATCTCAAGTAATTCTCTYATACAGGAAAAAAAAAAGAAAACCCAAACCCAAAGATATGGGTATATATCTTCCTTTTCATTTCCCCAAACTTGCATCATTCATCTACAACATTTAATTTTCTATTGCAAAATAAAAATCACAGCAGAACACAATACCTACCAAACAGAAGATATGCTCAGTGATGAATCAAAATAATACAGAGGACAACAACTAGAAGACAATGTTAAAATTCTACTTTTTCTGACCACTGTGACATGAAGATACAAAGAATGTACTAGATAAGGGCTATTTTCCATGGAAATATTTATCATGAGAGACATTTATCAAATGTAGTCAGCTATTTCTTGAATAAAGAACGAGAAGTAATTGTTTTCTAATCTTGTTTTAAGTCATGAGCAGAGTCTTGAAGGATTCCCTGAAGTGATGCTGTTCAAAGACTGCAACAACTATTATCAACAGAAAACATTCCACTATGTCCTCCAGTTGAGATCTCTAATTCTCATCAGTACAGTTTACCTCTTTACCTCTTTATCTCTCTGTACAGACTGATAAAGCCTAAATAAGGTTTCCAGCACCTTCTCCTTCTACATACAGACCATAAGATGCTTGAACTTATTTCTTTTATTAAGTCCATGACAGTCATGGCTATCAGACAGTGGCTGTCACAGACGGTAAACTGTATTATGACACAGTCCTAGCCAGACTATTTTTCTAGTTCCTATGCAAATTCAGCAGCAAGAAATACAGAAGACAAGRGACAAAAGACCAAAAAGGGCATAGGGAAAGAAAATCCTTTCTTTTCCTCTTCATTTAAAGTGAGATGTGCAGACTATTCCTTTTCATTTTCAATTTGCAGCCTCCACTGTGAGCCAAGATCTGAGAGAGGGCGATTGACTGGTGCTATTTGGTTTCCTGACTGCAGGAAGTTATACACAGGCCACAAGAAACAACCAGGCATACTTTCCTCCACAAACAGAGTTTAGCAGGGAAAAAAAACACCAAAAATTAATAAGGATTTAAAATCAGAGTGGTGCCAAAGCAATTATACATTTAAAAAAAAAAAAAAA